AAACATGGTAATTGGAGCTTAATGTTGATCCACAATGAAGAAATCTGTGTGAGGCACACATTATTCTTTAAATAGACATCAGTGAGGCCTAGGCTGGCGTTTGAGAGTGTCTTCATTTTTTGTAAAAGTTAAAGAAAGATGTCTGTGCACATTGCACACCTGTCATGAGAGCTCTGATCCCAGATGCAGCAGAATAGAAAAAGGCAGGCGAATTGTGCACATCAAAGCCCCAATCAGTAGCTCTACTGCCAGAGCTGGGATACCACTCTTCACTGTCCTGTTCCTCTCACTAGTCTTTGTTCTCTCGCCACATCCTCCTCAGCACCACCCTTCACAAGCGGAATGACTGTTTCAAACCCATTTCACAGCTACCAGCTTGACTAATATTCCTCTGCCATGCGTTCCTCCTCCATTGCTATCCATGTGACATGTCTGTGATCTCTCTCTAAGTTTGTGAGCATGTGGGTGTGAGTATATAAATATGTGTTATGATTTTCAGTGTAGGGCTGTCTGAAAGCACCACTTGTCTACATTCTATAAAGCAGTTTTCTGTCTCGGCCTGTCTGAGCTGCTTCTGATTGATGTGTAAAATTGGACTGTTTTTGCTCCCATATATTCCTGAGGCGGGAGATCTGAGTGGGTTTCGTTTTTCCTTGCCTCCCGAGGCACACAAAGTGTTTCATGTTCTTGTGGGTTGGAGTCAAACGGAGTACTACACATGAAGGCACACACTGCAGGTTGCAGTAGATTGATCTGCTCCTTTTTGCCTGTTTTCTGTGTTCCATCTGTATTTTTGTGTATGTGTCTATGTGTGTTGTGGGGAGTGTAAAGCTTGCTGACTGTGATGAATTGCCACAGCAGTGGAGACAAATTTGGACGTCGAGGAGCGTTGGTTTTGCTCAGAAATTCGTACTGCCTCTCCACTCTGTGTAATGATGAAGAACTACGCACATATCAGCCAGAGGAGGGGTGCAACTGTTGCGAATGAAAAGCACCACAAATGCACACATAGAGGCAGGCAGGCAAGGAAGTGGGCCATGATATATCCACTGTGTGTGTGTGTTTGTGCGTTTGTAGTCCCGGCCTGGCATGGGGTTTGGGTACAACCACCGCCCAAACTCCTGGGGACCCCCTGCCCTCAATAGCTTCAGCAATGAGAAGTAAAGGGACCATGTACTGTGGAACTGATTGACAGTTTTTGTAGACGTGCCAAAAACCCACCATGGTGCTGTATACATACTGTATGCATGAAAGAAGATGAAAACTTCAGTTTGTTGGACCCCATGGTACAGCATGAATGTAGCGGTTGTAGTAAATGGCTCATGAAAGGGTCTCAGATTGAAAGAGATGAGAAGCGCTTGTAGGCATCTGACAGAGGTGACAAGCTTCAGAGGTTGATCGCTGACTGCAATCCCAGTTCACATTAATAACTTTTGAAATAGACCAAACCTGTCTACATCTGTGAATATATAAAACAGATCACACACTCAAACAGTTACTCAAATGAGCGGCTTTTGATTTCACTCAAGTGCAGGAATGGACATTTTACATATTTTGCTGTCAAGATCAATCATTGTCAATTGATCACGACAACCATTATGTACATGTTGATCATGTTGACTTAAAGTGAATACTTGTAGGCCTTTACATCTGAATTGTATATTATTTATTATTACTTACTTTTTCTTGCCACTGCAAATACATAGGACCCTTGACCAAACCTAATTTCTTAAATGTTTTTTGCTATTGTAAACAGAGTTCTTACTATGTTGAAAGTTTTTTCCAGCCACTGTATCCTACCCCCATTTACATGCAAGGAGCTGTGTCAACACCTCTCTGACACTGAACAAAAATTGCAAGTGTGACTAAGGAAGGATTTATAGCAGAGTTGTTATACCAGACTGCATTAGCTAATCAACTCAGTCAAGGCAGTGTATTTGAATGCAGTATAATCATAATTGGGAGGCTGCACATTTACAACCTGGGACTCTCTTTTAAAAGAAAGCTGGCATGTCTGGATCTTTGGCAGCATGATTGGCCATTATTGAAGCCTGCCCCAGCTCAGCCCTCTGGCAATATATGCCTCCTGCTAACAAACAATAACAAACTCATTCTGACCCTATTTTCAGTTTGCGTGGCAGTGTTCTAGTGTTCTGGATTGCAGTTTTGCCTCTGTTCACCAAAATTGCAAAAATGTGATTGTCATACCCATGTGTGCTTTAATGTGTGTGTGTGCCCAGTTTCACAAAAAATGGAGCCCCATGTGTTAATATAGCAACTGATGACATTTTTCCCATTTGGCCCAGTAGAGGGCCTGGTAGTATCACAAGGTCCTACTCTTAGTCATAGAATTAGATTTTTTTTTTTCTTTCAGTGTGTTTTATTGTTCCATGGGGAATTGACAGATAAAATGGAGGAGTGAGAAAAACACACAGAACCTTAATCAGGGCAATGTCCTCCTACCCTTCACTAAATCAGTAGTGGGACCCAGCAGTCACACTGTGGCTGATGGTAAAACCAGCCACTGAAGTTGTAACGTTTTTTATACCACATCATACACAAATGAGCCAATCTCATACTGCTCAAAAGTAACACAGTTTATTTGCATGTGAACATACACTCACTTCATTAGGAACACCATACTGATAGTAGGGCCTCTCTTTGTTCCCAAAACAGCTTTAATTCTTCATGGCATTGGGTTTCACGAGATGTCGGAAATCTTCCTTTGATATTCTGGTCCATGTTGACATGATTGCATTACATAATTTCTGCAGATTTGTCAGATGCACATTCATGCTGCGAGTCTCCCACTCTACCACATCACAAAGGTGCTCCACTGGATTCAGATCTGGTGACTGGGGAGGCCACTGAAGTACACTGAACTTATTGTCATGTTTATGAAACCAGTTTGAGATGAATTTTGCTTTGTGACATGGTGCATTAGCCTGGTAGAAGTAGCCATTAGAAGACGGTAAATTGTGGACATAAGAGGCTGCACATGGGCAGCACCAATACGCAGATAGGCTGTGGCATTCAAATGATTATTGATTGGTATTAAGGGGCCCAAAGTCTGCCAAGAAAATATTCCCCACACCATTACACCACCACCACCAGTGTGGACTGTTGACACAAGACAGGTTGGGTCCATGGATTCATGCTGTTGAATGCCAAATTCTGACTCCACCATCTGCTGCCTAAGCAGAAATTGAGATTCGTCAGAATAGGCTTAGTCTTTCAGTCTTCAACTGTCCAGTTTTGGTGAGTCTGTGTCCTCTGCAGCCTCAGATTTCTGTTCTCTGGTGCTGACAGGAGTGGAACCTGATTTGGTCTTCTGCTGTTGTGGATTCTGAGATGCTTCTCTGTTCACTAGAGTGGTTATCTGAGTTACTGCAGCCTTTCTATCAGCTCCAACCAGTCCGGCCATTCTCCTCTGACATCTCTCATTAACAAGGCGTTTCAGTAACAGTATCCAACAACAGTAAAAACTGTTGTTGGATACTGTTATCTATGAAAATGCCAGGAGATCAGAGTTTCAGAAATACTCAAACCATCTGGCTCAAACAATCATGCCACGGTCAAAGTCACTGAGATCACACTTTTCTTTTCCTCATTTTGATGTTTGACAACATGAACTGAATTCCTGACCTGCATCTGCAGGATTTTATGCATTGGACTGCTGCTACATGATTGGCTGATAAGCTAATTGCATGAATCAGCAGGTTTGCAAGCGTTCCTAATAAAGTGCTCAGTGAGTGTATAAAGTACCCATATTAATAGTTTTTGAAAAGAATCATGAGGTTTAAATTAATATCATGTTGCAGTTTTCTCCCCACATTTCACATTCATCCTTTATCTTTCTTTTTGAACATCTCATGTTACAGCACCTCTTTTTCGTACTAGTTTGAAGTACATTAAAAACAAACTAAACAGCAAAATGAGATTGATAGACAACATGCACACAACATGCAAACAAAATCCCGTATTCAAATGTAATGAAACCGTCACTGTGGTAGCATCATAGCATGTAGCTTTTAAAACCAGTGTGTCAGTAATGAAAATGTACATCTGTAAGTGACCAGAGTTCAGTGGCAAGCAGCCCTTCACATCTGCATGGTGGCTGACAAAGGCGTACAACTTTATAGGCAGCAGAGGCATTGTTGAAGAGAAAACACCTACACACTCACATTCACACTTGCATGACAACCACAGTATAAACTTTTTTATTGACAGTGTGTGTTGTCCCCGAATATTCCCCTATACCTGTTATCTTCTTTCTTTCCCATCCACTGGAGGCTGTTTTCTCTGCAAATCACTAGCCAGGTCCATCATTCTGCCTCAGGTGTCAGGGCCAGGTTTTCAGCTCTACCAACACAGGGCATGATTTACATGTCATATCTGCAAAGCTTTTCCCTTTCTATAATATATCGACATCATGGTAGTTGCCTTCTTTTTACAAAGCATGACCTTGATATTTTGAGTCACAAGTATTCTATACTCAATACAGTAAATGCTGTGAAACACCATGTTGCCAGGTTTGAGCTTTCCATTCCAGCTTGTCAGTGTACCGTATGTTCCTGTATATGTTACTCCACTGCTGCAGCACCCTTTATGATTTTTCTTTTTAGTCAACTGCAAAATGCATAACTTAAATCGCACAAGGTTGCAAACACCAGGGTGCACATTTGCACAGCAGGTTGTCTACAATAACTTGCCAAGTTGGGCATTACTGAATTTGCTTGGAACTAGTTCCATCATATATAGGACATATATAGGACTGTAGCCCTTCAATAAAGTGAATGTACATATGATATAGTAGGTGCTTGTTCAAGCCTTTTCATGTGATGTGGTTATAATGTGGTCAGCTGTTGTGAGTTCCAAATGAGCAATCAGTATGGAAAACCTAACCACTAAAAGAAACTACACCTTATCTGATTTTTTTTTCTTTACTTCTCCTCTGTCTTCTAACACCCCCTCATCCTTTTTCCTCCTGTGATTTTCAGAGAATGATGAGACAGGTGTGATGGATAGTTTGCTGGAAGCCCTACAGTCAGGAGCCGCATTCAGAGACCGCAGGAAGAGAGCGCCAAGACCCAGAGGTGAGTCTCATATCTTTTACCTTCATTTATACACAAACAAAGGCAAACAAAGACACTTAAAGCTCATTAGCCATTTTGTCTGGAAAAGACTATGGACATTGCTGTAATTCCAGTCAGATGTTAAAAAATCATAATGAATTCTGGTCCCTACCTGCCAACTTGATGCATTTTTTTTTTGTTTTGTTTTTAAAGGCTGAGTGAATTGAATGCATCCTTGGGCTCTCATACCTTGGCTCAAACACTCAGTCACTTGCAAAATGTACTAGCTTGTTGTTTGTACACATGCTTGCTAGCAGCACAATGCCAGAGAATCCTCAGCCTGACAACATTACTACAATTGTTTGATTTTTGGATCCCAGTAAAAGCCAATACACGCCCAGCTATGTTTTTTTGTTTTGTTTTGTTTGTTTTTTTTTTTCTGGCAGTCTTAAATCCAAACACAGCAATTGAAAAACTGAAAGAACAAACTCATTTTGTGAATCCAAGATGGGATCTGTCAATGTATTGAATGGATTCACAGTTAAACTTTTGGGGCTATTGACAGCTGTATTTCATGTTGATGAACTTCACAGCCACTCCTGGGCTGGTGAATGCTTCCTCATTATCTTTTTGATCCTTTCTATTACTGTATATGTTGGCATTATTTGTTCACTGCCCTCCTTACAGATAACCAGCAGCAGACGATCAGCCCCAGCTCCTTCCGCCAGGTTCTCAGGCCTGTTAACCATGGTAAAACAAATCGGAAAAAGCTCACGAAGCTAAAGCCTCAAGCATGCTCACCTCTGTCTTTTATTTGCTATTGGAAATCTGCCTTAAATATCTCTTGCATGCGATGCAAATTCCCACTGACAGTTCATATGTCCTGCTTTATTGTGTGTCCAGTGACCTTCTCAGTTGTTTTTTTTTGTGACCTTGTGTCTTGCCTGGCATTGTGCCTTCTGAAAGTGTGAAAGGGCATTGCTAAAACAGTTTGAGGCAGTGCCATGTGCTGCCTTTGAGAGAGGCAGAGTGGAGATTCTTTGAAAGCAGTGTGTGGGCAGCTCTGGCGGCTCAGTTTGATAAGGCTTCTAAATTGTTCAGTAACTGCAGCACTTTGAGTTCAACCCTATTGTATGCTTTTGAATGCAGTTGCGCTCTTTGACATTTTCTAAACCTTATGTGAAGGAGGCTAGTCAAGTGTCCTAAAATATTGTGGACAGAATAAGATTCTTTTTGTCTAGAATTTCCCACTGCTCACCCATGAACTGTATTCTTTTGAACAGCGTTGAGGCATGTGCACTCAGATCAAATATACAGAATAAATGCATGGTACAAATGGACAAAAGCCACTTGTAGCTTAGAGCATTTACTGTGTTCAATAGATAGCTAGATAGATATTTACTTTATTCATCCCCTAGGGGTAATTCATGAATGAATGTCACTAAGAAAAGAAACTCCAATTAATATTTTAATGTAAAAAGGGCAAGAGTAAATGTGTTTATCTGTATGACTTCCTGGGAGTGGAGATTGGATGAGATACTAATGACACCAAATTAAATTGTCTTGTAATATTCATAGTTGTGAACAGATATTGTACTTTCAGGTCTCGCTAAAATAAACAATAGCTTTCTTCTCTTGTCAAAGGTTTTCTACAACCATCACTGAGGCACTTTAAAAAAAAAAAAAAAATTACGCTGTAACCGTATTACCTCTTATTACTTGTAATTGGAATCCCAGTGGGCTGGGTACAGGCACACATGAATAAAATTATTCACGCTCAATCCACCCACATCATTGATGGCAATGATAAAGGGCCTTGCTCTGTTGTTCTGCTACGACTTATCTGAAATTAGATTGGAAAGGGACGAGGGGGAGGTAGATATACAGGGTGGGAGGAAAGAGACAGATAGAGGTGGCTGTAACGTAAGAAATGGAGAGAAATGGTGTGAGGAAGAAGGATAGAGCCAGTTGGTAATGGTGAAACTAAGGAATAATGTGGGAGAAAAAAAAAATAGCTGGACTCAGATGCTTTTTGATTGTGTGTGTGTGTGTGAGAGACAGTCAGTAAGTATAAGAGAGAACAAGTCAGAAGTATGTCGTATTAACAGGGGATTAGAGGAAAAATAATTTACTTTGCATAAAGAAGCTGGCGCTCAGTGTCCATGTTGTGAAAGGTAAGAAGGTCCTGTAAGGTTGCTGCCCTGGCTGCCCCCTGCTGGCAGCCTCAGATATGGCCTTGTTGACTAATAAAGCTCAAAGCTTTAGTCTGTCACTGCAGGCATCATACTCACTGCCAGCCTCCCAGAGCAAACACAGCTAATTACTTTTCTCTGCCCAGCCCCAGCACCAGCTCAGCCCTCTCAGTGCCCATTCATCTTAATTTCCCCCTCTCTGCCATCTGCCTCCTAAATAACACTCCTCCTCATTTCCCTACCATCCCATATCCCCGCTGTCTTCTTCTATACTCTCATGGTCTGACAATGGCCCTCCCTAAACATAATTGCTTTTTATTGGTATGGAGTCTCTCCACTTCTCCTGCCTCACCCCTTCTCTCCCATTTCCCTTCCCTCCTTCTATCATGAGGAGATCCAGGCCGTAATTGTCCTGGGTTTAGTCCGTGGAGTGAGCGAAACCCACGGGATGCTCTCGGTTTAGTTGTGAGGTGATGAAGTTTAGTCGGCAGCACAAGCACTTAAACAGCTGCTTTCACTTTCACACCACCCTACCACCTCTGTTTCTCACAGTTTTAAATACCCTTTAATAATTGATCTCAGGGGTGTTGATACACTTCAGTGGAGCAGGGAAGAGAATTAAAAAAGAAACATCTGCACCAGAAGATACTGTAATTAGCGATGAAGGGGAGATATTTGAATGGTCGATCTGAACATGCATGGTGCCATTAAGCTTTTGCACCAAGGGAGATTTAAGTGCCCCAGTCTGTTGTCTGCAGAAACAAATCAGATGGCCGATAGATGTGCTCCCCATCACGAGACTTTGAGACTGTGGAGTAGTTCGATTATGGCTATAATGCTTCATAGTCATGATGAGTGTGATTGCCTCGCAATAGAAAATAGGATTAAAAGATTCCTTGCAATCTATTCCACTGTTTGCTGCACACCAAGTGGGAGCACATTGTTTCTTCCATTCATCTCCTCACACCCTGCCTTCCTTCCTGCTCTCCTCCTTTTGTACTCTTTGGTTTGAGTTAAGGTCCTGGTCCTGAGTTCCCAGCATTTTTCTCAGCTTCCTCTGTCTCTCATCTCCTCTCCTCCCCTACCCTAAATTGGCTCAGCACACTTTAACATGAGCCAGCAGCTTAGGTGTTTAGCTTGGTCTGCAGTCTCCCCTCAGCACACATACACACATACACATAAAAGTGCACAGACACACCCGTAGACTTCAGGGGATGAAGGTAAGCAGGCTTTGTGGGGGCTGTGGTCTGGGTTAGGATAAGGCTGCGGGGCTCTGGGGCTCCTCGACAGTCTAAATTGGATTGGACTCCACAGAATGATGGATCGATGGTGGTTAGCCACACAGGTGTAAGAGACTTATTGAATCTATAAAGTGGCCATAGCTTTTTTTTTTACTCTGTCCTTCTGAAAACATCTCTCCAGGTACTGACCGGTCATTTCAGCCTTCTTTGCAAGCCCTCATCACAGCCTCGCTGACTTCCAAGCTTGTGTGCGCACGTACATGTAGAGGGGAATCACATGACTTCTTTTTTTTTTCTTTTTCTTTTTTTTAATCGTTGTGTTTGACAGAGAGCAAGAGCCTCCAAGTGAGTACGATAGCAGAAGCCAGAGGTGCATTAAAAGTGTGTGCTTTAATGCTCTTGTCCTGGAATGATCCATTATGGAGAGAGCATGGGGAGGGAGAGAATCTATGAAGAGATAAATGGTCTCTGTCTTTAGGAGCAATTACTTCATGTCTTTAGTGACACCCGACCTAACAATTATCATGTGTGATATAGCTCTGAACTAGAGCTTGAAATTGATGTAAAGGTCACTTCATGAAGTTGGTAAACCCCTTTACCAAATGGAAACAGGAGTTATTTTTCCTTCCTTAGACTTGAAATGGTTAAAGTTTATGGCCTAAAAGCAAGCCTCTGATTATTGGAGATCTTGTGTGCCGTGCCTTTTGAGTCAACTGTATGACCCTTTTTTTTCTTTTTTCTTTTTTCTTTTTTTTTTGCTGAATTTATGTTTCTGTATATAATGTGGGATCCTTGGTTCATGCAAGCAGCTATTCAGTGCTGACTTTAAATGGCTTGGGTATAGGTGCAAAAGGTAGTAGGAGATGACTAATAGGCTTAATTTGAGACTCAACCCACGGTGTCTTTCAGAGGTTTGTGCAGCAGAAAATCATTAAGATGAAACTGGGGAGGGTGTGAAGTTGAAATGAAAGTCAAAAAAAAGTAGGATAAAAAAAGGAAGTTTGTTTCCTCCCAACTTTGTGTGTTCTTTGTGATCACATGTGAGACATTTGTGAAAAACTAGCAGTGAGAATCATTCACTACAGCTTCCTGAGGCTGGAATCTTCTGTTGGATGCTTGCCTTTTTGATTGGGCCTCTTATAGACTGATATGTGAATTCCACTGCAGGCTACTGTATCTTGCAGATTGCATGTGTGTTTTTTCTTTCCTTTTTCACATATCTGTCTCTTCATATCAGTGTCAATTATGGGAGAAAGCTTCCCATCCTTCCAGAGTTTTTTTTTTTTCCTAACTTTTTGACTTTGTTTTGTCTCTTGTTTTATCTCCTCCCTGGCCTTAGTGCTTTTCCCCCAGACATGACATAAGCAGAAAAAGAAGCAGTTATTAAATCATTTGAGTGAGCTCAACACAAAAATAGGAGCACAGACGCTCTCTTCCCTAGATATATTTTAATTAATGCGACACGTCATTGTTTCAAAAGTAGCCGTAGAAGTTACTGATTTATCTGCATTTGATCATAATATATCTTCCACACATCACATATGCCCTATGCACTTTTCATTAAAATGACAGATTATTGCTTCTGTTCCTGAACACGGAGTTCACTCCCCCACTTCCACACATACACGCTTGTGCATACATTGTCAGCTTAAATCCTGCGTTTTAATGATGTGCAGACAGAAGGTTAAAGGCCACTTCTGGGTCTGGGCATTTGTCGTAGACAGGTGTACTGCTCCCTGTTTTCATGTCCACAATCATTTGACCACTTGGAGTCACAGTGTCTCTCTTATCACCACACTTGATTGGTGGTTTAGATGTTTTACTGTTCTTGTAGACAAAGGCAGTTCCAGATGGGGAAGTGCACCTTGACCTACCTTTGTCTGTCTGTTTGAAGTGCTGCACTTGGTGTGTGTGTGTGTGTGTGTGTGTGTGTGTGTGTGTGTGTGTGTGTGTGCGTGCGTGCGTGCGTGCGTGCGTGCGTGCGTGCGTGCGTGCGTGCGTGCGTGCGTGTGTGTGTGCGCCCGCATGTTTGAGCCTGTGCACACATGCATCGAACAGATGGAGCAAGAGGGCACCTTAACAAAGTGGCTAGTGTAATTAGGTCCAGCCTGTGCAGTGAGACTTGTGGAATAGTAATTGAGGGTTGTAGAGAGCAATGAAGGAAGGGTTTTTTTTTCCAAAACCTTTTATTCAGGTTTCACTGAGAACAATGCTCTCTTTTCCTGGAATTCCCTGCTGTAGCTACGCTTACACAGTTACACTTAGTCACGCATGGAAGCTGCCTAGTAGAATACTGTCTGATCTATTGGCATTTTTG